CTATTTTACTATTTTGTTTGGTATTTCTGTCAGTTGTTAGGCCTCCAAAGTTGAAATGCCAAGAAGGGCAGTGATGAAAATTGAAATAAGAACAATGGTAAGAGGAATAGTCATAACAATTGTAATAAAAATGTAACTAAAAACACTCACAGTACATAAGAATAATAAACCTCTTTGAGGAAGGAAGGAAGGAAGGAAGGAAGGAAGGAAGGAAGGAAGGAAGGAAGGAAGGAAGGAAGGAAGGAAGGAAGGAAGGAAGTGACAACAAGAGAGGAAGACAGGCCCAGACCCAAATATGAATAACGGAGAAAAGAATGAGACAGAGGAAATTTGAATGTATTGAAAGAAAAGCAAAGGAAATGAGTATAAGTAAACGTAAGCTGCTTAGAAGTAGGGAAAGTTCTTGACAAGCTACAAATTCACTTCCTCTCACTGTGTCTCTTGCACAGTAATAGACAGCCGTGTCCTCTGCTTTCAGATTGTTCATCTGCAGATACAGCTGGCTTTTGGCATCATCCCTGGAGATGGTGAAGCGGCCCTTGACTTTGTCTGAGTAATAAGTGGAAGGATTTGAGCCTGTACCTATGTAGGCTACCCATTCCAGTCCTTTCCCTGGAGCCTGTCTCACCCAGGTCATCCAGTAGCCGCTGAAGGTGAACCCGGAGGCTTGGCAGGAGAGACGGATGGACTCTTCAGGTCTTCTCACACCCCCTCCAGACTCCACCAACTGGATTTGAGACTTGACACCTAAAAAGAAAGATGCTTCAATGAGATTTCCTATATACAGGAATAGCAAAGGGAAGGAAACTTGACAGAGAATGAAACATTACCTCCAAGGGATGCAAGAAAGAATACCAAGTTTAGCCACAGGGTCATTTTGGCTTCCTCTAACGAATGGAGGGGAATTGAAAGTTGAGATTTTGAGAAAAAGCACAACCTTTGTGTTGGTGATTGTCAATGGAAAAGGGAAACCAATTGTTGCCTTTAAAGGGGAAATTGTGCCTTCATTTACATATTGGTTAATATAAAAGAGTTTCTCAGAGCAGGGATTTCAAAGTTGTCCTCGCACACACACTACACATTTGATTTTTACACAATTTTCCAGCCCAATGAAAAATGAAGCAGCCTTTATAGAAGAGGATGTAAAACAAAGACCAATATCATTTTTGTTTTAGATGCTAGTTTGTGTGGTGTTTTTATTGGTTGTTACTTGCCCAGAGGTCTCCTGCTTGGGTGAGGGGTTGGACTAGATGATCTATAAGGTCCCTTCCAAATCTGTTAATCTGTTAAAGTGTCAAACCTTTCCATTTTGGGGCCTATAACAATCTCCCTGTAGTTGCTAATTATAAAAATATAGCTTCATTATTATTTTTATTTCCCTGTCGATTACTACAAAAATAAAAGTCTCAATTGTATCTTAACAAAATCTTCTGGGTTAATGTACATATCTGTAATCCACATTTTGGGGGGATGATTTTTTGCATGGCCACCAAACCTGAACAAAACATTCCTCTATGTTGTTTTCATTTTCATGAAAGATTTGAACTACCTGGATACTTTTTTCTGATGACAAAACCAGAAATGATATACATCCTTTTTTTTCCCATAACTATTCTCTGCTTGATAGGGAGGATTGTAGCCTCCTGAAAGGTGGACTTTTCTTCACAGATTTTCAGGGAACAATTACAGAAACAACACTTCCAAAATCAGACAATATCTATTTAGAATTAATTCATTCCCTCCCCCACCCACACCCATAAGCCATGCAATTTCATGTGTCAACATTGCCCCCTGGTGTCCAAAATGGGGAGAGGATACATCTTT